CGCGCTGCCTCTGCCTCGGCCCTGTCTGTCTCGGGCCCCGCCCCCGACGACAAACCCCGAACTCGAGACCCAGCTCCGCTTAGAAAGTCAGGCCCACCCCACATAACAACCTTGCTCTAAGCCGGCTTCCCCCTTCAGAGCCTCACCTGTTGCCCCCAGGCTACAAACCCTTACCCTCGGTTTGGCTAATTGACAAAATCCTAACTACAGCTGCATATCCGTTTATCAGTCTAGCCCTGTTCTCCCTACAGATTTACACGCACAAGAAAACAAGCCCCGTCTACATTATCCATTTTCTCGGGACCCTAATTTGTAGTTCCTGTCTCCACCTCCGGGGCTCTGGCTCCGCCCCTAGAGCCTCTCCCTACGTCCGCAGCATCTTTGGAGGGAGAGCTGGTTTAGAAGTGCTTCCACGTCTTGGTCCACAGCTGTTCGTCGTAGCTGTTGGCAGGCTTCCCTTCCAGAGCGGCTAAGGCCCAGTATGACACTCCTCCCCCTTTGCCCTTGCAGGAAATAATTATGGGTGTGGTGAGTAGACTGACCTATTACCCACCTGCACCATGCTCCCCTCCAAAACACTTTTTTTTGTCTCCTCACAGCCGGGTTTAACCCCACCTTCGGCCCGGCCTGGGTACCTCTCTATGGCTCGCCTCCCAGCGAGGGGCTCCGGGACGGTCTTCAAAGTCTCAATGAAGGCCTTGGCCAAGGCATTTGGTTCCGCGGCCGCCTGCTGGTGGCTGTGTCCATGGAAGTGATGGAAGGGAGAGCTGAATCCGAGCCTCCCCAGCCCCCCCCAGAGGTCCAGGTTGTCCCGGCTCAAGGGAAAGAAGAAGAAAGCTAGGTGTGGCCAGACTCCAACTGGGATTCAGCAGCACCTAGATGCCAGCTCCAGTGCTGATGCACCTGAGATTCCTAGTGCCATGGAGGTGGAGATGGAGGAGTTGCTGCCGCTGCCAGAGGTGGGGGCTGGGATTTAGTAAAGGGGCAGGGTCACTCTCAGCTCTGGAGTGTGTAATCAGCTCCCAGGCATAAACGCAGGAGGGAGGGTGTCTCAATTTAGGGGCCTGGGTGAAGACTGCAATGTGCGCACACATGTGCGCCTGTGTATATACACATGTGGGAGGAGGAGGGCTGATAAATCAGAAGTGAGCCGGAGAGGACTAATCTCCTGGTCCAGTGGGTTGGGACAGCAAGGGGCAGAAAAGGAAGCAGGACACCAGCAGTGAATCTTCTAGGCCTTGGCTGCAGTGTCTTTCTGTAGGCACTGTGGCCAGGCATCGTCCCGGCTGCAAACTGGGAGGGTGGGGTTGATTCCAGCCTGATCCGCCTTTCCCAGAATGCCTTAGCACCCTGCGAAGATTTCCTGCTCTTTGCTGTGCTCTTCGAGGCCACCATGATTGACCCCGCCATGGCCTCTCAGCCTATCAGATTCGAGATCTCCATTGGTGCGTGGCCTAGCCAGAACGCTGAGTGTCATGAGTTTGAGGGGGTTGTTCCAGACTTAGGTCCCTGGAGGGGAAAGTTGACCTTCAGTAAGGGGTGGGCTCTGACTTCTATTGAGGCAGAATAGCTTGAGGGAGGGGTCAGCCCCTCACTTTGGTGCTAGCCTGTTGACCCTTGCTGATCCGGACAGGTCAAGCAGGTCGCCAGGAGGAGCAGTTGGGCCGAGCTTCCAGAGTCAGGGAAGGAGCAGAGGGTGCTGCAGGAGAGGCTGTGCCTCTCCTGCAGTCAGAGGCGGGAGTCCGGCCAGCGGAGGAGGAGGAACTGGGGATCCCTGCTCAGCGGCCTGAGCCCGTGGACGGCTGCGGGTGAGTGCTCCTAGTGTCTGGAAGGAGGATGTTGGGAGATCCGCAGCGGCGCAGGACTGCTCCTCTCAGACTCTGCTTCTCTTCATCCTTCCAGGCCGTACTTCTGCTTGCCCCTGCGTCACCGCAAGCCTTGCGTGCAAGTGTGGAGCCGCTGGGAGGATCACTCATGGCGCCTGCAGAGCAGTAACTGTGTGCGGAAAGTGGCCGAGAGGCTGGTGAGAGCGAGGCGGGCACCCACAGGGAGAGGCTGGGATATAGAGGCATCCAGAAGATGGCTGCCTGTGAAGGGAGCGCTGGAGGAGAGCTAATGGTTAAAGCACCAGGTTACCTGGGATCTCGTTGGTGCAAGGCCAGAGGGCCAAGGAGCACAGCTCCAGGGAGAACTGAGGAGGCCAGAAATTGTGGGAGGGCCAGAGTTCAGAATTGTTGGACCCAGGAAGGGGCCAGGTGAAGAATGTGAGTAGGGCTACTGGGGACCTGGCCTCCCAGGTGGGAGTTTGAAAAACAGAATCACTAGTTGGAGTCAAAGAAGGGCGAGGCAAGAGATGCAGTTGTGAGTGGGCCGGGACCTGGGATGAGGGTGTGGTCTAAAAGAGGTCAGAGTCTGGGACCCTTATGACTCTAACCTTCTCCCCTGGTGGTGCAGGACCAGGGACTGCAGGAGGCTGAGACTCTGCAGCGCAGGCCGGGGCCTGAGGCGTGCACAAGGATGAAGCAGGCGCTGGAAGAGCTCGTGGCTGGGAGCAGGTAAGCTGAGAGCCTCTGCCTCCCTGCTGCCTGTTTCCAGGCATCTCTAGGGTGAGGGAGACTCATGATAGGTATTTGGACCCAAGGGCCCCTGGAAAGTGAGCACTTTACAGAAGAATGAGAAGGAGACGGGAGCTTGATGAAATTATTGGGTTAAATCACTCCCCTCCAGTAAACTCCCTTTCCTGAACTCCTGTAGGCTTATGCATTTCCCCTTCTTCTCAAATCTCCCCTATTCCTTTCCTCCACACTTGTTCCAGCTAATGACTTTCTTTCCTACTTCCTGGAGAAAATAGAAGCCTCACCTTCCTCCATCTAGTCTACCACCTTGCCAGCTTCTGCATCCATCTGATCTCCTTCCTTCCTTCCATAGCAGAGGAAGTGTCCTGCTCCCGAAGCCATAGCTGTGATCTTGATTTCATCTCCTCTCATCTGCTGGAAAAATTGTCTCTGCAATTATCCGCTTTCTCTCCTGCAACATCAACTGGTCCCTAGTTACCAGGTCATTACTGTAACCACATATATTTGTTCTAGTCACATCCATCTTTGACCTTCACTGCCCTAGATTCCATAACCTGCTCCAGATACTTCAGTGTTTTTCTGACCCTCTTCTCAAAAGAGCTATTTATCCATTTATTCAATGAATATTTATGGTATAAATATTTGGTAAATAAATGGTAAATAAATATTGGGTAAATAAATGGTAAATAAATATTTACCCCAGACACTGTTTTAGGCACAGGAATAACAGTGAAAAAGCACTCTTGTCTACAAAAACTTCCGAAACGTACATTCTAGTGGGGGTAAGGAGACAGATAGTAAAGATGTAAAGCACAAGGCAGAAATATAAGAAATATGGTAAGGATGTGTTAGGGAGAAAATAAAGCAAGAAAGTTTTACAGAGAGGTGTTGCAATTTTAGAGAAGGTGGAGGGGAGACCACAGTGATGTTGACATAAAGAAGATGAAGTAGTAAGCCATGTCTGTAAGGATGTTTCAGGCAGAAGGGATCACATGTGCAAGGCCCTGAGGTGAAGCATGCTTGGTGTGTTTGAGGAAGAGGAAGGGAATCAGTGTCATTGCAGCAGAGTGAGCAGAGACGATGAGGCTGGAGGGTGTGGGGGGGAAGGAAGAGAGAGACATATGGGGTCTCGTAAGCCATTGTAACGGCCTTGGCTGCTTCTCTGTATGAGATGAGGAACCACTGACAGTTTTGAAAAGAGAAGGGATATGCTCTAACTTATCCTTAAAAAGGATCAGTCGAGGAGGGATGATATGAGAGGAAGCAGAGAGATCACTCAGGAGGGCATTGTAATGATTCACGTGACTGATAACAATGACTTGAATCTAGGGTGGTCGCAGTGGACATAGAGTGACAGGAAGGAATTTGAGAGCAGTTTGAGATTTTGGAAGTGGCACCTCGGGACTTGCCAGGATAAGCTTAGGGGATGAAGAAAATGTGAAAGAAGAGTCAGGCATGACTCCCCAAATTTTGGCTTGCAAAGCTGTGTAGATGGTGCTATTTACAGAGCTGTGGAAAACAAGAGAAGGAGACGGTCTGATGGGAGCAGAGGGAATATCAGAAGTTAACATTTTTGGACATGTTAACTTTGACATAGATGTCTATTAGACTTCAAAGTGGTAATCTCTGCTAAGCTGCTAGCTATATGAAGGGAGCTCTGGGGAGAGTTCTAGGCTGGAAATGTAAAATTAAGGGGTGTCAGTATGTAGATAGGATTGGCTAAGATTATCTAGGGAACAGAGTAAAGAGAAATCTGAGGACCTGAGAAGCTCCAGCATTTAGAGGTAGGACGGAAGAGGAGGACCCAGGTAAGGACCTGGTTATAAGTGGTCACTTTTCTGCCCTCATCTTACTCAACCTTTCCACATCAGAGGATGCAGTTGACCCCAACCCTCTTTCTCGAAAAACTCTGTGAAATGGTCTGGAAAAGCATTGGAAAGCTCATTCTGGATGCTGTATTGAGAATATTCTGTAGGAGAGAGGGTAAGAGTGAAGGTGGTGAGCGCAGCTGGGAGGCTGTTGCAGTAATCCTAGGTGAGAAGTGATGGTGACTTGCAGGGGGTAAAGAGGGTGGGAAGGGATAAATTGGGAATTCGAAAATTGTACCTCTTGGGAAGTGATGGAAATGTTAGCTATCTTGATTATGGTAGTGTTTCTATTGGTGTATGCATCTATCAATATTCATCAAATTGTACATTTGAAATATGTGTAGTTTACTGTACAGGAACCATACTACAATAAAGGTGTTAATTAATTAATTAATTAATTTTAAAAAAAGAAGTGATGGTGACTTGGACTAGGGTGGTCCTGGAAAGGGAGAAAACTGGTCAGATTCTAAATATATTCTGAAGGTAGAGCCTAAATGATGTGCTGATGGACTGAGGTGGAATGTGAGTGAAAGAAAGAGCAGTGAAGGATGACTATGAAGTAAAGTAAAGCAGGGTTTTTTGTGGGGAGAAGGGAGTGGTGGTGGTCACTGGAACTCATGCACTTGGTTTGAGCTATCTTTAGTCAATGTTGGAATTGTCAGGTACAGCCCATCTGAGCCTTTAACGTATGTTTGAATCCTCCAGGGTATAAACATGCGGATTTCTGACACAAGTCTGGGTTGGGGCTGAGACTGCATTTTTAATGAGGGAATACCAGTGCTATTGGTCCTGGGCCACACTTTGAGTAGCCAGGGCAGTAAATAGTTGAATACTGGTACATTTTGGGGCTCCACAATGAGGCTAACTCGATGAACTGGGGAGGGGTCCAAGCACAGAGGTCATCCTGGCTAAGGAAGGGTGCCTCTTTGAGAACAAGACCAAGAGGATCTGTGAAGGAGTCTGGGTGTGGGAGGCCTGCTCTGAGGGAGGGTCAGAGCAGGGCCCCTAAGGGTCAGCGTTCCTCCTTTGCTCCCACATGCCACGCCCACCCCGCTCCTGCAGACAGTTTTGCCACGGTGCTGAGCGCAGGACGGTGACCCGGCCCAATGCCCTGGATCGATGCCGACAGAGACTGCTGGTGCATAGCCTGGTATGGTCTAGGGAAGGGGGATCAGGGGCACCCAGCAGAGGCCCTCCACTCATGTTCTTTTCCTGCCATTCCAGAACCTCTTGGCAAAGCAAGGACTGCAGCTCCTACGGGGCCTGAGACAGGGCAACGTGCAAGGGAAGGTTGCACTGGCCAAGAAGCTTCTGGCGAAACTGCGCTTCCTGGCCCAGGAGGTAATGCCTCACTCACCCATTTCCCAACCCTGAATATCCGTCACTCAAGCTTTCCAGTGGCCTCTGTGCAGGGGTGACCCAACATTTATCCTGTGGATTGATGCCAGGACCAAGCTCCGTTTGGAGCAGCCAAGGGTGAGGATGCGTGTTCTAGGGCCCAGCAGGGATGCAGGGAACATGCAGGATCTCGCTGGATGAAGATTTGAGAGCATTTTTCCTTGGCATGACTTCCTTGGTCTGAAGCTCTGAGCACAACATGTGTGAAGGGTAAAGGAAGTTCTCATTTTTTGATTACTTCTTCTCTTCTACTTAGTATCTGGCTGTGTTATCTTGTGTAGTTCAACAACCTTGGGAAGACGTTATCCCATTTGACAGGGGCAGAAATTGAGGCTTAGAGAGAAAAAGTAACTGACCCACCATGTCATAGCTGGTTAAGTGGCAGAGCTAGAATTCGAAACCAGTTCTGCCCCACTCTGATCAGTCATTCCCAAACTCATGAAGTTTTGACCCCTGGGGCCAGTATGTCCTCAGGTTCAGACAGTGAGGAGTTGGATATTGGTCTCAGATCTTGAAGGACAAGTTGGAGTTTGGCAAGTGTGAACGAATGAAGAGCATGTGCAAAGGCATAGAGTCAGGAAGGCATGGGCAGCTGGAAGGCAGAGTAATGGAAGGAGAGACTTTATTATAGTGAATTTTAGTGCAAAATTGCTTTATTTATTTGTAATGAAAACTTCCTTAAGTCAGCTGACATTTTAAAACATTTTTTTACTTAAGTATGCATCCTGAAATAATATAGGTTAGTTTTACCTTATTTCAAACTTTATATAGTACTGTTTATATTGTTTTCTTTTTTACTCAATATTATTTTTGTGAGATTTTTCTGTATTGTTGCATATAGCTATAATTTGTCCATTTTCATTGTATAATATTCCAATGTATGACTCTACTTTAATTTACTTATCCATTCCATTGTTGATGGATATGTGTGTTGATCCTAATGGATGGTGATTAGAAGCAGTTTCAAAGACCATTTTTGTACACCTCCTGGGGATTAAGTGCAAGAGTTTCTCTAAGACAGTGGTTCTTAAACTTTTTTGATCTCAGGACTCCTTTACACCCTTAATAAATAGTAGGGACCCCAAAAGTTTTTGTTTATGTAGATTGTATCTACTGATATTCACTATTATATAAATTAAAACTGAAAAAAATTTAAACCTGAGAAATAAAAAATAATTATTAATTCATTTAAAATAACAATAGTAGGGGGGGAGGGTATAGTTCAAGTGGTAGAGTGTGTGCTTTGCATGCATGAGGTCCCCAGTTCAATCCCCAGTACTTCCTCTAAGAATAAGTAATATAAGTAAACCTAATTACCTCCCCCCACCAAAACAAACAAACAAACAACCCCCCCAAATAAAAATAAAATAACAATAGTAAACCTATGGCATGGTAGCACAAATAATATATTTTTGGAAAAATAACTATATTCTCCAAAACAAAAAATTTAGTGAGAACAGTGGCATTGCTTTACATGTTTTTGCAAATATCTGGCAAAAAATTTTTATACTCTGTTATATTAAAGTCCATTGGTCTATATTGTACTTTGAATGGATCTGTTATCCTTGCATGATTTTGAATCATCATACATAGGTCATATGGAAATTTGGTTCCCTGAATTATGTATACCTTCCAAATGGTGATATATTTCATTATATAGTAGTAAAATATCACATTTATTACTATCACCACCAACTCATTGGAAAGATCTTTGAGTGTTGGGAATCTGTTAAGCTCACAATGGCTGATACAAAAGATACATTTTTTTCTAAGAATGTAATTTTTCATTTTGTTTTATTACTGATCTTAGAGAAAAAGTTTTCATTCTTTTACTATTAATATGATGTCAGCTGTGAGTTTTTCATAAATACCTTCACCAGGTTGAGGAAGTTTTTTTCTTTGTTTTCTGAGTATTTTTTTTAATCATTAAAGGATGTTGGATTTTGTCAGATGCCTTTTCTGCATCAATTGAGATAAACATTTTTTTAAAAATTGTCCTGTTATTGTAGTGTATTGTATTGATTGATGTTCTTAGGTTGAACCACCCTGGCATTCCTGAGATAAATCCCACTTGATTATAGTAAATAGTCCTTTTTATATGCTTTTGGATTTGGTTTGCTAATATTTTGTTCAGAACTTACTCATGAGGGGTATATCTGTATTCATAAGAAAGATTATTCTGTTATTTTCTTTTCTTATGATGTCTTTATCTTTCTTTGATATTAGGGTAATGCTGGCCTCATAGAATGAGTTGGGAAGCATTCCTTCCTTTTCTGTTTTTAGGAGGAGATTGAGAAGGATTGGTGTTAATTCTTCTTTAAATGTTTGGTAGAATTCACCAGTGAAGCCATTTGGTTCTAGGCTTTTCTTTGTTGGGAGGTTTTTGATCACTCATTCAATCTCTTTACTTTTTATTGGTCTGTTGAGATTTCTGTTTCTTCGTGAGTCAGTTTAGATAATTTGTAAGTTTCTAGGAGTGTTCTCACTTTAATTTCTTATTTTAGTTATTTATGTCTTCTCTCTTTTATTCTTTGTCAGTCTACCTAAAGATTTGTTAATTTTGTTGATTTTTCTTAAGAACTAACTTTTGGTTTCATTGATTCTCTCTATTGTCTTTCTGTTCTCTAGTTTATTTTTCTTCACTCTGATGTTTGTTTACTTCCTTCTGCTAGCTTTCGGTTTAGTTTTCTCTTCTTTTTCTAATTCTTTAAGGTATAAAGTTAGGTTATTGATTTGAGATCTTTCTTCTTTTTAAATGTAGGCATTTACAGCTATTTATTTTCCTCTGAGCCCTATCTTTGCTGCATATCATAAATTTTGGTGTGTTATCATTTTCATTCATCTCTAAATGTTTTCTAATTTCTTTGTGATTTCTTCTTTGTTGTAGTATTTAAGAATGTGTTGTTTAATTTCCACACATTTGTAAAATTTTCCAGTTTTCTTTCTATTATTGACCTGAGGTTTCATTCCAGTTTAGTCAGAAAAAGATACTTTGTGTGATTTCAGTCTTTTAAAATTTATTGACACTTGTGACCTACCATATGGTTTATCCTGGAGAATGTTCTATACACACTTGAGACGAACTGAGTTGTTGTTGGATGGAATGTACTATATGTGTCTGCTAGATCTAGTTGGTTTGTAATGTTGTTCAAGTCCTTGGGTTTCTTAATGATCTTCTGTATAGATGTTCCATCCACTACTAAAAGTGGTATATTGAAATCTCCAACTATTAATTTAGAACTGTCAACTTGGTATCACATTTTTTTAGTTCTATTAGTTCCATTTGGCTCCAGTTTTCATATGTTTGTTGAAATTACCCATTTTTAAACTCTGTACTTTTCGCACTAGGTCCTGTAGAATTTTCATCACAGTTGTTTTAACATCCTGTCTAATAATTCCAACATTTGGATTTTCTGTGGGTCTACTTCTAGTAATTACTTCCTCTCTTGACCATGGGTCACATTTTCTGCTTCTCCTATGTCTTGTAATTTTTTATTATGTGCCTGGATTTTTGTATAAAAGAACAATACAATAATATGTATCTCTAGAGTTTTGATGAAATCTACTTTATCTAATTTTTCTTTTATGTTTATTGCTTTCTGTTACCCATGTAAGGAAACTTTGCTATTTCCAAGCCACAGAGATATTCTGCTATGTTTTTAGGAGAATAAAGATAGTTTTCCTAAAACCTTTATGGTTTTAGATTTTACATTTAGGTCTCTGACTGTTCTCAAGTTAATTTTTATGTGACATATATGGGTCAAAATTCTGTTTTTAAAATATGAACTTTGAGATATTCTAGTACCATATGTTGAGAAGATTTATTTTTCCCATTGAGTTGCTTTGGCTTTTTAATTGAAAATCAGGAGACTGTATAAGTGCCTCTGTTGAATTTTTCATTTCAATCATTGCAATTTTCATTTCTGTAAATTCTATTTTTTTTCAAATTCACTGTGTTATTTTTCAGTTTCTTATTCCCAGTAAATATTTGTCAGGTTTATCTTTTGTTTCATTTAAACATAGTAAGCAGAATTGTTTTTATAATGTCAGATGATTTCAATAGTCGATTTTAGGGGGCTTATTTCTGCTCTCTGTTGCTGCTCTTACTTCCTCATGCTTGTTTCCTTCTGTGTTTAGCTGCTTTAAACTGTGAGCTATTCATTATAGTTTCCAAACATTATTTGTGGGACTTCTTTTAGTCTTGGAATAAAGGTACATTCTTCTAGAAAACATATGACCTTGCTTCTGCCCTTGATCACCTTAAACTAAAATTTGATGTTTAGCAACACCCAGGCGTTGTGAAAAAATCAGCTTGTGGTTATTCTTCTCAGGAACAGTTTCCAGCTCCACTACTTCACTCAGCTAGACAACTCTCTTTGTAGATTCCTGGGGGTGAGAGAGTGGGGCAGGTTCAGTTAGGGTTTATCTTTATCTTTTTTTTTTTAACATTTTTTATTGATTTATAATCGTTTTACAATGTTGTGTCAAATTCGGGTTTATCTTTATCTTGAAGGCATGATTCTTTGGGGTCCTAGCTTTCAGGGAGGGAAGAGATCTCCTATTAGACTCCTGTCTTGATAAACTCCTGTCTTGAGTGGTATCTGAGCTCTTTATATTGTTTTTACTCACTGTCAGGTCATGAAAAGCTCATATTTGCCAGATTTGGCAAATGCCCCTGTGGCAAAAAATTGTTGAAATTCTCTGTTAACTTCTCTGGATTCCTATTTTCATTTAGAGCTTCATTTAGAGATAATTCTTTATTCTTATTATCTCACCACTGCCTTTAATGAATATTTAAACAAATATTTTACCAAGTAGTTTTAGTTGTTTTTAGTGAGAAGTAGGTCTTAATTCCTAGCTCATGATATTACTGGAGATACAAGTCTGGCATGATGATTTCGCACAGGGAAAGGAGAGGGTCAACTCTGGGATGATCAGTTCTAGCCATTGTTTGTTTGCTTACTCAGTGATATTTAAAGTCCTCCTCGTGCCAGGCTATGTATGAGGCCCTGGAGATCCACCTCTGCCATGTTTCTTGCCCTTTTGGGGCTTATATTCTAGTGTGGGAGACTGACTATGCACGTTAAATGAGTAAGAAAAACAGTGATGATTTGTAGGAATTGCTAAGGAAGATGTTACAGAGGCTAAGGGGGCTGAGAAGAAATGCTTACGTAAGGTGGTCAGGGAAGATTTCTCTGCCGGGACAACATTTAAACTGAGACCCAGAAGGTGGGAGCAAGCCAGCCATTCATGGTAAAGAATGAGTTGGAAGGGAAGACTGAAGGCAGGAAGACTTCCCAGTTGTCTGGACAAGAGTGGGTGGTCTTAATCTCAGGCAGTGAGGAAGGGAGAGAAGGGGGACGTTGGCAGGATTGGGTGATGAGCTATCAGAGGAGACTGTGTGGCTGATGTGAATGGGCACACGGTGGGAATCACCGGGGAAAATCAGGCTGGGTAGAAGGGAAGAGTAAGGAAATCAGGCTGACACTTGCTCCAGCTTGGTGACCTTGAAGACTTTATGCTGAGTGAAAAAAGCCAGGCACAAAAAGACAAATACTGTATAATTCCACTCATCTGAGGTACCTAGAGTAGTCAAATTCTTAGAGTCAGAAAGTAGAATGGTGATTGTCAGGGCTGGGAGGGGAAATGGGAAATTAGTGTTTAATGGATACAGAGTGGCAGTTTTTTGCAAGATGAAAAAAAGGTTCTGAGAGTGGACAGTAGTGATGGTTGCACAACAGTGTGAATGTACTACTGAACTGTACACTTTCAAATGGTTGAGATAGTAAATTTTATGCTATGTGTATTTTACCACAGTTAAAAAAAAAAAGACCGGGATAAAAAAGTCGGGTGGGACTTTGAGCCTGAGGTGGCCTGTGGGGCATCCAGGGGAGAGATGTCCAGGAGGCAGGTGGCTGCATGGGCCTGGGGTTCAGGGGGAGGTCAGGGCTGGAGATGGACATTTGGTCCATCCATTCCAGGGGAAGCTGTGGGAGCAAGGGGCTCTCCACTCCAGATCCACCTCTGCAACCCAGTTCTCTGCCGGCAGCCCCAGCCTCCCCTCCCAGATGTGCTGGTCTGGATGCTCAGTGGACGGCGCCGTGTGGCCTGGGCCCGCATCCCTGCCCAGGATGTGCTGTTCTCTGTGGTCGAGGAGGAACGGGGCCAGGACTGTGGGAAGATCCAGAGTCTGCTGCTCACGGTGAGGGGTCCTAGGGGTGAGGGTGCTGGGGACTGGAGTCGGGTGAGGCTCAGAGGATGGCACAGGCCTCAGGGTGGAGGTGTGTAGATTAGAATAAGGGGTCCTGAGACTTAAATATTTTTTAATTAAAAAATTCAAATTTATTTTTATTTCAAAATTTTTTTCTATTAACTTTAAAAACTTAAACATGTTTTAATTTTGAAAAATTAAACATTTAGTATTGTTTTAAAATTATTACTGTTTTAAAAAGTGTACTGAGCCCTTTAATTATCCAGAATGCCAAAAGGAGATTGTGCCTTTACCCAGGTGAGTTTTGATGTGAAATAAACACCAAATTTTGTCATCTCTGGACCTGCACTGGCCCTTTTATTGACTAAACTCTGACAGATGGGCAGGGTTATGAAAATGGGACTGTGATGAACTAGTTCCTTATAGGCATAGCCAATTTGTGGGCAGAATATTTCTAAATGAGGTGTTCCTGTGATGGACACCACCAGGAGTCCCTAGTGGTGAGAAGCTGTGACCACTGGGGCAGGGGACAGGGAACTGAATGTGTTGGGGATGAGAGGACAGAGGGGTGAGGTGAGTGTGGGGTGTGGGAGTGCAGAGTTCAGAGGGTAGGTGTGGGGTTTGGGGTGTAGGAAGTGGCAGTGTTGGGGCAGGATGAATAGGGAATGGGAGTTATAGGGTAATGGGGTGTCAGGTGGGCATGAAGAGGGTTCAGGGTGAGGTATAGGGGGCTGGGGTGAGGTTTAGTGATACAGAGACAATGGGCCTGCTGGTCAAGCTTGGGTTACAAGGGGTGGGCCCTAACATGCTTCCTCCCCACAACAGGCACCTGGGGCAGCCCCTGGTGAGGTCTGTGCCAAACTGGAGCTCTTCCTGTGGCTGGGGCTGGGCAAGCAAGCCAAGGCCTGCACCTCAGAGCTCCCACCGGACCTGCTGCCTGAGCCCTCTGCTGGGCTGCCCCACAGCCTTTGCCGGGACGGTGAGTGCAGGGCATGGGGCAGGCGGCCCGGGGGACCCGGGGCCCCACTTTCCGTTTGCCCTAGGTGTGGGGCTAGATGCCCAGCTGAGGGTTCAGAGGGTCTGGGCTCAGGGACTCCAGTGGTCACTCTTCCTTCCCTCCACCCCAGACTTCAGCTACTTCCAGCTCCGGGCTCACTTGTACCAGGCCCGAGGTGTGTTGGCAGCAGATGACAGTGGGCTCTCAGACCCCTTTGCTCGAGTCCTCATCTCTACACAGTGCCAGACCACACGGGTGAGGCCTGGGCTGGGATGTGGGCGGAGGGGCACTGGAGACAAGGTGGGTGGGGGCTGAGCTTTTCCAAGGCCCTAATCGGACTGCCCTGATTTAGAGGGTGGTGTTGAACTAGAGGGTCTTAAGGGTGAGAGGTTCTTCTGATGCCTGCGGTTGCCTCCTTCCCTGCGTGGCCCCCAAGGTCCTGGAGCAGACGCTGAGCCCCCTGTGGGACGAGCTCTTAGTGTTTGATCAGTTGATTGTGGATGGGAGGAGGGAGCACCTGCAGGAGGAGCCTCCGCTAGTGGTCGTCAACATCTTTGACCACAATAAGTTTGTGAGTGTGGCCTGGGCCCCACCTGGGTTCCCACCAAAGGCCCCCCTCCCTTGTCTTGATGCCCCCTCCCCTGGCTCCTGAACCTTTTCCACATTTGTCTTCAATGCTGCGCTCCCTGCAGGGCCCCCCTGTGTTCCTGGGCAGGGCGCTGGCCGCCCCGAGGGTAAAGCTGATGGAGGACCCTTACCAACGCCCCGAGCTGCAGTTCTTCTCCGTGAGGAAGGGGCCCCGGGCAGCCGGGGAGCTCATTGCCACCTTTGAACTCATTGAACTGGACTACGGTAGCCGGCTTGAGGTCAGAGTGCTGTGGTGCAGCTGGCACAGGCCGTGGACCCCTCCTGCTATTCCTTTAGATTATCCAGCTCCAGGGACATGGGCATGTCCCAGGGTTACCCCTCCAACTCCCTCACCCCCAGAGAATGCAGGCGGCAGGTCTGTCACTGGACCTCCTGACTCCAGGGAACACTTAAAGTAAACCTACCTTAGGTTCGCCTTGCCAGGCCTCCAACTCCAGAGAACCCAGGCTGCGGGTTGATCCTCATGCCTTAGATACCCACACTCCCTTTTTGTGCATGGCTGTTTCCTTAGATACCCCAATCCCACCAGTCCAGCCTTGCCAGGTGTCTCTGGATTTATGTTTCATTGGTAGCTCTCCGCTTCTCTTCCCTGAGCCCAGAATTTCCCGCCTTTGGCCTGATTCCTCTTTGACCTCTGATCTCTGGCTCCCTGTAGCCCTCAGTGCCCAGTGATGTGGAGCCCCAGGACCTGACACCCCTGGTCGAGCCCATCTCCGGACGCCTATCCCTGCCGCCCCATGTGCGCCCAGTTCTCAGGGATTTCCGTGTCGAGGTAGCACTAGGCACTCACATCCTCCTCCCTTCTGCACACCTCGGTGCCCCTCAACCGGGTGCAGATCCCTGACTCTCCCACTTCCCAACCCCAGGTACTGTTCTGGGGTCTGAGGGGCCTTGGCCGTGTGCAGCTGTTCGAGGTGGAGCAGCCCCAGGTTGTGCTGGAGGTGGCTGGGCGACGTGTGGAGTCCGAGATCCTGGCCAGTTACCGTGAGAACCCCAATTTCACCGAGCTCATCAGGCATCTGACAGTGGTGAGGGCACGGGCAGCGGGCAAGAAATGGAAGGGGGCAGTGGGCTGGTGAATTCCTGGCTGGTTATATTGGCTTAACCCACCAAGTTTCCATAAAGGGCCAGATAGTAAATATTTTAGGCTTTGTGGGTCATACGGTTTCACTTGCAGTTACTCAACTCTGCCATTGTAGTGTGTAAACATCCATAGGGAACAAGGAAATGAATGGGTATGACTGTGTTCCAATAAAACTTTATTTGCAAAAACTAGCAGCAGGCCAGATTTTGTTTACAGGCTGTAGTTTACTGCTCCCTGGATTAATCCATGAACTGGTAATGCTGTGTCAGCTCTACTGGATGAGTGGATTAGCCAAATGTCATGAAGTAGGAATCTGAAGGAATCTGTCTAGTTTCTGAAACACCAGGGGCTGAGAAGAAAAATACATTTCTCATTTAATTTGTGTTTACTGTACTGTGGTATAGACTTTGGAGTCAAATTCTGGCAGTGTCACTTAGGAGTTTGTCAGATTACTTGTCTGAGCTTTGGTTTTTCTATTTGCTTGCTTGTTTATTTGTTTGTTTCTGTATAAAAGGGAGTAACAGATACAAAAGAGTGCTATGAGGAGCCAATGAGAGAAAGGATCTTGGTGAAAGGGCTCTGTCAACTGAAGAGTGCCGTGCCTAGGTGAGGGGGTGACTGGGACAAAGCATGGTGGCCTCCAGATTGCAAGGGGGCAAACAACAACAACCCGACACTGTTTCATGACTCTGCTTGCCATGCAGGAGTTTGCAGTTTGAAAACTTTATTGTGCTGTAAGATGATGAAACTGAAATCAGTTTGCTCACTGAACTTCCGGGGGATGTTTCCTCTCATTTCCCATTTCATAGTGTAACTTGAGGAAAACACATCCCTCTCTCCATTGTGCATGTGAAAAGAATGTGCATTCTTCTGTGGCTGGGTGGAATGTTCTATAGATATCAATTAGGTCTAGTTGAGTTGACAGTATTATTCAAGCTTCCCTAAAAAAAAGCCTCCTTGGTGATTTTATGTCTAGTTGTTCTATTTGTTACTGAGAATATGGTATTGAGGTCTCCAACTATTATTGAATTGTTTGTTTCTCCCTTTATTTTGGGTCATTTTTTCACTTGTATTTTGAGTTTGTTTTTAGGTGCATATATATTTATAATTGTTACAGCTTCCTATAAATTGATCTGTTTATCATTGTAAAATGTCCCTCGGTCTCCAGTAAAATTTTTTATCTTAAAGTCTGTTTGTCTGATAATATAGCTATACCAGTTCTCCAGTTCTCTCTGGTTAGTGTTTGCATGACATGTTTCCTTATCCTTTTACTTTCAGCCTATATGTGTCTTACTCAAGAGGGTCTTTTAAGCCACATGTAGTTGCATCTCTTTTTTTTTAACCCAGTTGACAACCTCTGTCTTTGATTAAAGTGTTTAATACAGTCATATTTGATGTTATTATTAATATGGTTGGATTTACATCTGCCATTTTGCTATTTGTTTTCTGTAGGTCTCATACTTTTGTTCCTCCTTTAGAGCCTTCTTTTGTATTAAATAAATATTTATTACTGTACTACTTTAATTCCTTTGTTGATTTTTACTTAGCAGTTGCTCTAGGGATTACAGTATGCATACTGATTTTTCAGTCTGCTTCAGACTAATACTAATTTAGTTCCAGTAAAATAGAGAAACTTTTCTCTATTATAGCTCCATTCATTCCTCCCTCCTTTTTCCTGTAATTGTCACATGTACATAAAATAAACTCAGCAATACAGTATTACAGCCTTTGTTCTCCCCACCTCCCTCCTGCCGCCTTAGGACCCATTGATAGGTAGAGAATTCCTGGGCTAAAGGGCATACATATTGTTATGGTTCTAAATCCACATTAGCAAACTGAGCATTGGTCCTTCACATAATAACAGCAACAACAGCAGTCTTGTGTTTCTGATAGCACTTTGTAGGCTCCAGAATACTTCTGTGTCTATTATGTTATTCAATACAATTGTCTCTCCAATCCAGGATTGTGTCCCCTTTTTAGCTGGGAAGTGGGTTCAGAAGGCAGTGACTTACCAGAGATGACACAATGAGGCTGTGGGCTCCGAATGCAGATTTAGCTGTATTGTTTTCCTATCTGTCTCTGCTACTGCCTCTCTCTCCTCCCCTAGTCTGAGAGACATGGGTCCTCTCTCCCCCAGGACTTGCCGGAGCAGCCTTACCTGCAGCCCCCACTCAGCATCCTGGTGATTGAGCGCCGGGCCTTTGGCCGCACAGTGCTTGTGGGTTCCCACATTGTCCCCCACATGCTGCGATTCACACTCCAGGCTCATGAGGATCCCCCTGAGGAGGAAGAAGAGGAGGAGACAGGGGACCTAGTGCCCAAGGGACCTCAAGGTATGGGTTGTCCCCCTTAGGGACCACCAGACAGAAGTCGTTCTTGGCTGAGGTGGCTCCAGGGGAACTTCCAGTGGGGCATGGAGTCTGACTTCTACTTGCCTGACCTCCTCTGGGTGTCATTTACCCCCTCTTAGGACAGAGGTCCCTGGATCCCTTCTTGTCTGAGGTGGGGATGCCCAGACGGCTCCTGAAGGTGATGGACTATGGAGGATGGGTGGAGGAGGGGCTAGCAGTGCTTGGGATGGTGCTGGCTTAGGGGTACTGAGTTCTCCTCCCTCAGGCTCCTCTGAAGAAGCTCCCTCTGGGAGGCCTCCTGAATCAAGGCCCAGAGGTGGAGGAGGACATTCCAGATCCCGAAGAGCTTGACTGGTGGTCCAAGTACTATGCGTCGCTGCAGGAGCTCCAGGGGCAGGTAGGGACAGAGGAGAGTCCCAGGGGTCGGAGGGGCTGGAGGCTGAGGAGAGCCAATGGCAAGAAGAAGGATCTCATCACACGTGGAGCGCTACAGTTTTTCAGAGCTCTTTGTTACAGCCATCGTTTGTCTTCTTCACAACAATTCTAGAAGCTGAGGATTATTAACTCCAGTATCTAGAGCTTGTTGTCCAACAGAAATATGTGAGGCACAGACGTAATTTTAACTTTTGTAGTAGCCACATTAAAAAAAGTAAAAGGAAGCAGGTGAAATTGATCTTAATGATATATTTTATTTAACCTAATATATCTAAAATATCATTTTAAGAAGTAACCATTATAAGCAATTAATGATGAGATATTTTGCATTCTTATTTTATACTAGTCTTTATAATCCGGTGTGTAGTTTACACTTCCAGCATACCTCAGTTGGGACCAGCTACATTTTAAGTACTGAGTAGCCACATGTAGCTGGTGGTTGCTGTCTTGGTCAGCGCAGGACTAGATGATAAACTAAGGCTTTGAAAATGCAAGTGGCTTACCCAGCTGGAACTTGAAGTGAAGTTTCCCAACTCCCTGTCCTGGAAAAGAGGTAGATTAAGGAGGTGAATTGTGGGGAATAATCGCTGACCTGCCCTTTGATTTCAGACCAACTTTGATGAGGACGAAATGGATGACTCTGGGGATTCAGGTGAGAGATTTGGCTTTCTTACTTTTTTCCTTTCAGCCTCCCTCCCTCCCTGCACACCAGTATTTCTAACGAGGTATTTCTGCTGTTCCAGATGGGGTCAACATCATTTCTGTGGATGGGGAAGCCCAAGACCAGGGTGAGGCTAAAGTAAAAGACTCCGTGTTCCAGAAAAAAGCAATTGCTACTCTGAAGGTGACTGATGTCGGGAGAGGGGATTCTGCTTGGATTCTGGACATGGGGCTGTCACTGAGGCCCTTGCCTTTCAGATTTACAACAGCTCTCTGGAGGAAGAGTTTAACCACTTTGAAGACTGGTTGAATGTGTTTCCCCTGTACCGAGGGCAAGGGGGTCAGGATGGAGATGGAGAGGAAGAAGGGTCTGGAAACCTTGTGGGCAAGTTCAAGGTATGTTTGGGGAAAGAAGGTGGGGGACCAGGGAGCACAAGTAGGGTTGCAGGAGGAAGACTCTCTTACCAGTGTCCCATCCATCCCACCCAGGGCTCCTTCCTCATTTATCCTGAATCAGATGCAGTGTCCTTCTCTGAGCCTCAGATCTCCCGGGGGATCCCACAGAACCGGCCCATCAAGCTCCTGGTCAGAGTATATGTTGTAAAGGTGAGCATCCACCGGCCCAGCACGCCTCTAACTCCAGCAAAGGTAATGTACATGAAACCTACAGACTAAAGGGATCAGGGTCCAGCTTCTTCATTTTTCAGGTGGGAAATCTTAGGTATAAAATTAAGAGACTCCCCAGGGTTACACAGCTTGCTTGCAGCAGAACCTGAATTTATAGGATATAAAATAACTATATATGAAATGTTTAAATAAATAAAAGAATGAATTTAAAATGAACAAGGAACAAATAGACTATTCAAAGTAAATAGCAAGTTTGAAGGGCCAGTTAGAATTTTTAGAAATTAGAAGTGTAATATTTAAAACTAAAAACTCAGTCAGTGGTGGAGCAAAAGATTTGAACAGTCACTTCACAAAAGAAGATATATATAGGGCCAATAAGCACATGCAAAAATGCTCAGCATGCTTTGTCATCAGGGAAATGCAAATTAAAACCATAGTGAGCTGTAATTTCACATGTGCTAGAATGACTAAAATAAAAAAGACTGACAATACCAAGTGTTGGTAAAGATGTGGAGCAACTGGGACTTTCATTCATTGCAGGCAGGAGTGTAGAAAGACTAAAAATATATTACTGTGTATAAATTGTACTTCACTAATCTATGCATAAATTATGTGTTTATAAAATTATATAGTTAGCAAAAACAATAAGTTTAACACATATAGTTTAAAACCATGCAAAGTAGTGCTATGCATTGCTTAGGGATGCATGTATATGTAGTAAAAGCATTTTTACTTTTTTGTGTGAGTGAGAAACCCCAAATAAAGGGTTCTGGCTACTTCAAGGGTGGAAAGTGAATGAAATCAGATAAGGCAACTCAGGGAACAATTGTCAGTAGTGTTCTATTTATTAAGCTGGGTACACACATGCTCATTGCATTATTCTTTTATTTAGTTAAAATATTCTTAATTTAAAAGGTAAAATATGCCCGCTATAATAAATGGAAGTTAAATGATATGGAAAGTTATAAATCAAATAGTTAAGTCCCTTATGCATCTTTCCACATATTTTCTGTTTCATATTTTTATTATACCTATTTAAGTATTTCAATATTTAATTTAAAAGAAAATAAAACTTATCTTGTCCAGCCTCTCAGCTAACTCCTTGCTGTGGGAGGTCTCTCCTTGGTAGCTTTCTGTTTATGCTTAATTGGAGATTAGGTCCAGCAAGGGCAACCCTAGGTTATGACAATGATATTTCTCTCAGTTCCATCCCATCCCATCTCCCTAGGCTACCAACTTGGCTCCGGCAGACCCCAATGGCAAAGCTGACCCCTATGTGGTGGTGAGCGCTGGCCGGGAGCGGCTGGACACCAAGGAGCGCTACATCCCCAAGCAGCTGAATCCCGTCTTTGGAGAGTGAGGCTGGGCCCTGGGTTTGGGAATGGGGAGCACTTTGCCATCTGGCCCTGTGGCTGTCACTCAGGCAGCTGGCATGGTGCTAGGAGGGGAATGCACGGAGGCTTCTGGAACCCTTGACACCCCTACCCCCGCAAGACCACCTCCTAGGGCATGGAGGTATCCTGAGCCACGCTCTCTCCTGGCCAGAGTCCTGGAGCTCAGCATCTCTCTCCCTGCTGAGCCAGAGCTGACCGTGGCTGTGTTTGATCATGACCTCGTGGGTTCTGACGACCTCATCGGGGAGACCCACATTGACCTGGAAAACCGATTCTATAGCCACCACAGGGCGAACTGTGGGCTGGCCTCCCAGTATGATGTGTGAGTCCAGCAGGGCCCTCAGGAGTCATTCTAAGTCCGACCAAAGACAGTCAAGTTCACCCACCTGTGTCCAGATCCTTTGATTTCATAGAAGGGACCTCCCCTGTGACTAAGACATTATGGCTTAGTGTCAAGACTTGGCCTTGGGAGTTGGGATTGTAACAAGTCACTTGACCTCCCTGAATTTCAGTTTACTCATCTGCAAAATGGAGGTAATAATAATAGTATCTCCTTCGTAGAAACACCTGGCATACATCTTTTGTTTTTCACAGTTTCTGGAAGCAAGGACTAACCTGTCCCCTAGTGGAGTTATGAACCTGGATCTCATGTTTTCAAGGCTCTCCACCCCTTCCCCTGTGCCCAACTATGTCCATATGCTGGCCCCTACTGAAGCACCTTCCTTTTCTGCCTGCAGGGGTGGGTACAATGCCTGGCGTGATGCATTCCGGCCTTCACAGATCCTGGCGGGGCTGTGTCAACGCTGTGGCCTCCCTGCCCCTGAATACCGAGCCAGAGCTGTCAAGGTGGGCAGCAAAGTCTTTCTGACACCGCCAGAGACCCTGCCTCCAGGTACCAGCCCCTCTCTGCTGAGCAGTCCAGATGGTAGAACAAGATGGTAGAACAAGGTACTGGGGGCCCCTGGTGCCCAGTCTAGTGTGCACCCCAAAGAGCCCACCTCCTTCTGCAAGCAGAGAAAGTGAGTTTGAGTAAGGATGACAGTGGAGAGAAAATGGTCTTTGTTGGTGAGTGTGAGATGCCCAAAGAGCATTACTGTCCCCTCAGAGCCATAACTGAGAAAACAGGGTGGCCCACAGGGGATCCCATACAACATACAACGTGGCTGCAGAATTGAGCCCGTGCTTCATAAATGGCTCGTGGTCTCTTCCGTAAACAGAGCCTGCACAAAGGCCACAGCCCCTCCAACCCCACTGTCCCCCTGACTGCTGGCTTTTCACTGGCAAAAGCTGTTATAGCAGCACTCCCTACCTTCTGAGCGCTGTGGCCTTGCCCTCCCAGTGCAGCAGCTGCCTCAGCCTGGAGCATCTATTGAAGGGCAGGGGAGGAAGGGAGGAGAGCTGGGAACCCAAGCTCACACACTTCTTATTGCAGGTGGTGGGGAATCCAAGGTGGCAAGTGAGGTCCCCGAGGAGGCCCAGGCATTGCAGGTGCTGCGGCGCTGGCAGGAGATGCCGGGCCTTGGGATCCAGCTGGTACCTGAGCACGTAGAAACACGGCCCCTCTACCATCCTCGCAACCCGGGGCTGCTACAGGTGAAGGAGGGCTCAGCACCCAACCCCAGAATCCCAGGACTCCCACGTGATCCTGGACCTGGGTCCCCAGGGTGCCCTTTCCCCAACACCTCCACGCGGGCATCACATTGCCACTTCTGACTCTGGCTTCCGATTCTGGTCCCCTGCATCCCCACTGCAGTCTTGGACTTCCATCCTGGACCCCATATTCCTACTCCGGACTCTGGTTCTGAAAGATCCCCTGGGCCACCAAGGCTCAGACTTGGCATTTCCAACCTGTCCTCTATTCTAGATTCCTAAGATCTGGGCCCTGGGAATACCAGATCTTACGTTTGATCTCAACCTTCCACTTTTGGGGGCTCATCTCTGAATTCCTAGGATAGCCTCAACCCTGGAATCCCTTCAGTCCTACCTGAAGTCTCCTAGCATCTGCCAGACTGTGCCCTTTTGACCCCAGTTCTTCTCTCCACCTGGGGCAAGGCACAACCTCTGGCCACAGGGCTGTTAGGGGAAGTGGGACCCCAACAAGACCCTTTAGCCTGGTCCTGTGCCCCCAGGGATCCCTTCACATGTGGATTGACATCTTCCCCCGAGATGTGCCTGCCCCACCCCCAGTTGACATCAAGCCTCAGCAGCCAATCAGGTGAGTCCTGGCCCCTCCTCCCTTGGGGCAGGCACATCTTGGACAACCTGTACAAGGGTCTTCTGAAAACCTGGGACCCCCCCAGTGAAGCAGGCAGAGGCTGCTGACCCAGACTTCAGGTAGGTGAGCCATTAATTTCCCTTTTTTCATAAGCCATTGTGAGTTGGGTGTTTGTCACTTGCAACCGAGAGTCCAAATACCAGTAAATCCCCTTCCTACCTGAGCTAGTCTGAGTGGATGGTGTATGCACTTCAGATGTGGTCAGCAATCTGTCACTTTCTACCTCTGGGCTTTGCTTTCCTTGGTCTCACACTCAGGGACGCTTTTGCAGTCTAGGGGAAGAGTGGCTTCTAATGGTGCCAGGCTTACATCTTGTCCAACTTGACTACTTGAGCAGAAAAATAAATACCTCTTTCCCAGTTAGAGCAAAAGTCTCGGGGCTGACTCTCATTGGACCAGCTTGGGTCAAATGCTGATTCCTGAACTAATCACTGTGATCAAGGGGCTGTAATACACTGATTGGCCAGTCCTGGGTGATGTCCTAGGTGATACACCCACCTCTGGAGCCAGGTAGGGGTTGGTCTGCCCCACCAGGATCACACAGACTGACAGGGGTGGGGGTGCAGGTGACCAACAGAAACTCAAGGTGCTGTCAGCAAATGAGGAGAAATTGATACTGGGCAAGAGAAAACAACAGATACCCAGGAAATCTCATGACAGCCAAGGACAAGGCTGTTTGGGGTAGAATCAGGAACGTTACAGCCCTTCCTTCTGTCCCTCTGGGGTTGCCTGCTGTCATCCCTGTTCTGTCTCATTCTCCCACTTTTCTCTGCAGGCTGGCTTTCTCTGCTCACCTGCCACTCCTTTGTACTCCAAAACTTCAGCTTGCACAAGATTGGCTTGCGGTGGCTCCAGCTCTGCATCTGATGCTACATGACTCAACCTTTCAGGGTCTTGATTCCAGACTAATGGGAGAACCTCATTGGCCCTGCTTGGGTCAGCAGACCATTCCTGGTGCCATCCTTGGTGGCTGGGGTGGTCAGTGATACCTGGGGCTCCTTCAAGGGAACACAGACATCCTGCTTACCCAGCTAGGCACACGTCAGTACTTAATGAATGTCAGTGGCCCTGGCCCAGGTCCTTTCTGCTTCCTGCAGCCCTTCCCAGGACCCCTCCCAAGTCTGAAAACCCTCCCCCAATACATCCCTCAGCTATGAGCTCAGAGTCATCATCTGGAACACGGAGGATGTGGTTCTGGATGATGTGAACCCGCTCACTGGAGAGACATCAAGTGACATCTACGTGAAAAGGTAGGCCTGCAGGCTGGGCCAGGCACATGGCTGTGCACTGAGGTAAGATTGCAAACAGGGGCTTGGGCCCTGGGCTGGCCTGTCCCCTAGGCCCTTGATGGTGCCTGGAGCTGGGTGGTGAGTGGAGGGGCAGGCTGGGTGAGGAGCTGGGTTCTGGGCTTGGGGGCAGCATGGATGCCCACCCCCTCGGCCTGCACTTTTTCCCTGGCTCCAGCTGGATGAAGGGGCTGGAGCATGACAAGCAGGAGACAGACGTGCACTTCAACTCTCTGACGGGAGAGGGGAACTTCAACTGGCGCTTCGTGTTCCGCTTTGACTACCTGCCCACGGAGCGCGAGGTGAGCGTCCGGCGCCGGTCCGGACCCTTCGCCCTGGAGGAAGCTGAGTTCCGGCAGCCAGCTGTGCTGGTCCTGCAGGTCTGGGACTACGACCGCATCTCCGCCAACGACTTCCTTGGTACTGCTTAGCTGTTCTCCTCCCTCAACTCCTAGCCCGTTTCTGCCCTCACTGCCCTGGCCCCCAGCCCCTGGGTTCCCTACTCTAACCCAGCCCTGAAGCCTGGGTTTCAGACCCCACATCATGAGCCTTTGCTTTCTGGCATTACTGAATGTATTCAGCCCTGAGCAACATAACCTCCATTCCTACCCAAAGTCTCCGACTCAATCTTCTAATTTGACCTGAGCTCAGGCCACTCTGGACTCGGAGTCCATGGCCTTTGGTCCCTGCTTTGGCAGTCTGGTCCCATCCTTGGCTGTTTCATCAGGGTCTGACAACCTGCTGACATCTGGGCTGTGGTGTGTGGTCCATAGGTGTGGCCTGACCACCATGTTCTGACTTCCTAGTCTGGACTTAGAATCCTCCGGCGCTGCCTCCTCCTCCAGGATGTTGCCAGCAATCTGTCACTTCCTACCTCTGGGCTCCACTTTCCTTGGTGTCACTCTCAGGGAGGGGAGGTGGGCCCAGATAGACTTGGATCTCCTGCCTAACCCAGAGAGCTCTGACTTGTAGGCTCCCTGGAGCTGCAGCTACCGGACATGGTGCGAGGGACCCGGGGCCCTGGGCTCTGCTCTGTGCAGCTGGCCCAGGACAGGGCTGGGCCAAGGTGTAACCTGTTTCGCTGCCGCCGCTTGCGGGGCTGGTGGCCTGTAGTGAAGCTGTGGGAGCCTGAGGATGAGGAGCGGGAGCAGCGGGAGGCTCAGGCTGGCAAGAAGAGGAGGAAGAGGAGGAGGAAGGGTCGGCAAGAAGACTTAGAGTTCACAGACCCAGGAGGCAACATCTACATCCTCACGGTGGGTGCGGCCAGGGCAGGAGCCAGGCCAGGTGGGGGCCAGCCCTGAGCCTGCCTGAGAGCTTGGTCTCTATTTCCCCTTTTCCTAGGGGAAGGTGGAGGCAGAGTTTGAGCTGCTGACTGTGGAGGAGGCTGAGAAACGGCCAGTGGGGAAGGGGCGCAAGGAGCCTGAGCCCTTGGAGAAGCCCAAGTGAGTGGGCAGCCCAGGAGATCTGGCCAGAGCCTGGAGGAGGGAGTAGTGGGTGCCCAGGGGCTTCCTAATCTTCCTGACGCCACCTTTCCCCCTCAACAGCCGCCCCAAAACCTCCTTTAACTGGTTTGTGAACCCGCTGAAGACCTTCGTCTTCTTCATCTGGCGCCGGTACTGGCATATCCTGGTGCTGCTGCTGCTGCTGGCACTGATCACCGTCTTCCTCCTCCTCATCTTCTACACTATGCCCGGCCAGATCAGCCAGGCCATCTTCCGCCCCCTCCACCAACCCTAACAGACCTGGGAAGCTCATCCATAAATGCCAGCTCCTCAACTCCTGCTCCTGGCAGTCTTTCCCACCAGTAGGAGTCATCCTGGCAGAGTGGAAACCTTATCAGGCATCCTCTCTGATGCTTGAACACATGCTGTGTATAATAAATAATTTGTACAGGGGGCAGAGAACAGAGATGTTCTTGGGTAACCCGGGCGCTGGGATTCACTGGACAAATGAATACACAGGATGGGAGGCTGCCCACATGGCCCCTCTGCCAGGAAGACTGGGACCCAGCCAAAGGTTCACAGCCATGGAGCCCTGGACACTGGTCCTGCTGCTCCGTGCGCTCCTTCCCCACCTGCTGCTCCTGCTCCTGACAACGGCTGGGTCCTTCTCACCTAGTCTGTCATGGCTCCTGCTGTTCCATGACAGCCAAACACTATACATGCTTCATGAACTTGCACCAACCCTGAGAGTAGGCAGATCACTTAGGACACTTTTGTTTGCAAGTGACAGAAATCACAACCCAATCATTAAAAAAGTCCATAAACGATAAATGTTGGAGCGGGTGTGGAGAAAAGGGAACCCTCCTACACTGTTGGTGGGAATGTAAATTGGTGCAGTCACTATGGAAAACAGTATTGAGATTCCTTAAAAAACTAAAAATAGACTTACGATACGATCCAGCAATCTCACTCTGGACATATAACCGGAGGAAACTAATTTGAAAGCACCCCAATGTTCACAGCAGCTCTATACAATAGCCAAGACATGGAAGGACCTACATGGCCACCGACAGATGACTGAATAAAGAAGTTGTGATTTTTATATACAATGGAATACTACTTAGCCATAAAAAGAATGAAATAATGTCATTTACAGCAACATAGATAGACCTAAAGATTATCATACTAAGTGAAGTAAGTCAAAGACAAATGCCATATGGTATCACTTATATGTGGAATCTAAAAAAAAAAATGACACAAATGAAGTTATTTACAAACAGAAACAGTCTCAGAGATATAGAAAATTTGTTTACCAAACAGGAAAGGGGAGGAAAGATAATTAGGAGCTTGGGATTAACAGATACATACCACTATATACAAAACAGATAAATAACAGGGTCCTACTGGATAGCACAGGGAACTATATTCAATACCTTATAATAACTGTGAAAAATGTAATATATATAACTGAATCACTATGCTACACATCAGAAAGTAACACAACATTGTAAATCAACCATGCTTCAATTGAAAGAAAAAAAAAAAGAAATCCCAACCCAAACTGACTTAAGCAAAAAGGGAATTTATTGGCTTATAAAACTGTAAGTTTGGCTGGTGGGCTTCAGGTGCCATTTGTCACAGGGTTCAAACAATGTCACCAAGACTGGTTCTCTGCTTCTGAGCTCAGCGTTGCTGTCCTCACGGGACGCTCATTCATAGAGAGGGTCTCCCCTCAAAAGTGCAGGATGGCTGCAGCAACCCCACATCTCCCCATACTCACATCCAGAAGAAAAGAAAGCTTTCCTAGTCCTGGTGGAGCCTGGCTCACTCTGGGTCACCAGGGCCAGGCAAATGAGATGTGCTGACTGGGGCCATCCCCTGCAGCTTAGAGTGGGAGATCAACCCTCCTCCCAAATCACATAAGCTGACAGGGTGGGCAGGGAGGCTCCCAGAGGAAATCCAGGATACTGTTAACAAGGAGGAATTGTTCCTGGGTGACCAAAAAAAACAAGGCTCACTATAGCTGGTAATGTCACATGCAATTTATAGAAGAGACGGGTGCCTACTGAGTGGTTAAATAACATGTCCAAGGTCACAGCTCACAAGTGATCACATCAGAGCTGGCTCTCAGGTCTGTCTGCCTCCAGAGGTGTTGCTGTCACTGCCCTACTTTGCTTCCTGCCTCTGGTTCTCCCCCAACTAGTGTCTTACACTGAAACTCCCTGAAAAACGATTGGATGAACTGACCAGCTATTAACGTCTCTTGTTCCCTGGGCTGTACGGTGGACAGGTCTCGGGGCTAGTTCTCTACATGTCTTAAGGGCTACAATGGGAAGCCCTAACTAGGCCCAGAGCTGGGGATTTGAAGCTAGCCCTGCTCTAGAATGCCCACCAATATCTTCCTTTCCCATTCCTCAGTCCTGCTTCCACCTCAGAGGATCAGAGGACCTGGCCGGACCCTGCTGGGCACCAGGAGCCAGGAAGGGCTTGGCATGGAGTCAGGTTAGTGAGCAGGAGGGGATCAAGTGACTGAGACCAGGGTGGCAGGCAGGGGCACCAGCTTTAGCCATCACTGAAGAAGTGGTAAGCTCCAGCCTGCACCCAGGGCCCTATTACCACTGGGGTTGGAAACTCACCAGCCAGGGGGCCAAGGTGGCTCCAGGAAGCTCATCCTTGAAATGTCCATTCTAACCCTGGGGCTGAACCCAAAAGGCCCGGTGACCACAGTGGAGAAGGGAATGACGACAGGGCTGTGGGGTGGACATCAGTCAGGTTTGAATAAAGCCCTGTCTTAAGCAGGGGATGTCCATGGGGGGCTCCCAGGGGCATCTGGCTCCGATCTGTCAGCCCTCACTGCCTTCAGCAAGTGGCTGTGATGAGGGAAGGGTTGTTCCCAGGCTCCTGCCAGACCCAAGAACCACAAGGGGACCAATGATACTATCACCATCAACAGATTTACCAACCTGGGGCTGTGACTGACTCTTCCAACAGAGGGTGGGGTTGGGGTGGGGGTTAGAGGCTGAGAAGATGAACACAAGGCCAAAGAGAAACAGGAGAAAGAGGAGACAGAGTGGGGAAGGAACAACTACGTTGTCTTTCCTAGATCAATTTTCTTCTGGATGGCTCGAGCCGAGTGGTAGATGAGAGAGTCGATGAGTCCAGCCACTGGGGAGAGAGACAAGGGCTGGCACTGGCCCAGTTGGGCCCTTGCCTTGGGCCTTAGCACCCAAGCGGCCAGGCCAGCATCTCCCCTGGCCTTTGAAGTGCCCCTCCTCCCCCAACCAAAACTCAGGGGCGAGGACAAGCTTTCCACTCCCCACCATACCCCCAACCTCAGACGCCCTCCAGCTTCTAACCTGTGAACATGCCCCCGATGATAGCGCACACGCCCGTCAGGAAGTGCGTGAAGGACCTGGTAGAGGGGCGGGGGGAGGGTCAGCAGGCACCCCTGCTCCCCGTGGGCCCCGGCCCCTCCCTTTCCTCACCCTCACCTGTGCTTCTCTGTCAACTTCACCATCATGGGCGAGAGCTCATACAGCACGAAGACTCCGGGAAGCCCCTGGTCGCCCATCAGTCCATTGGCGACCTTCTCATGTCTGGTCACTGAGAACTGATTTGTCCTCAGCACCTGGGACAGGAGGGGAGCCTGGGACAGGGCCGGGGGGGGGTTCCCATCCCCTCCAGCCCTACCACTGCTCCCACCCCTTGCCTTGTACCGTCTTGATTGTGTGGAGGAGAAAATGAAGCCCCATGTGGGTAACAAACATTGCAAGGCCTGGGGACCACCCAGACGCCCTCTCTCAGCCTTTCCATCCCAGGTTCCCCTCCAGTCACTCTTTACAGGTTACCAATCCCAGCTACATTTGGTGGATCCTCTCAGTGGGGGTCCAGGGATGAGAAGCAACTCTCCAAGGCTGCACCACAAGCTCCTGACAAGGCTGGGCCTGACTTCCTCTGCCTTTAGGTCCCAAGCATTCCACTGAGATGCTGCTCCACAGGCCAGAGCAGAGAGGGGAGCGGGGGGCCTGGAAAGGTTGGCCTGGCTACCCTCAGCCCAGGACTGACCACAGGGGACAGTGAGGCAGACAGAGTAGACACTGGAGGAATGGATGGAGGCAGTTTGGGCAGTAGAAAAAGCGCTCTGAATCTGACAGCCTGGGGCCTGAGCTCTGGCTGTGAGGGCAAATCACCTACCCTCTCTGAGTCTCAGCTCATATGGGGACAAGGGCAGGACTTCACTTGCCAGGTTGAAGGAACTCAAGTTCTTGGCACCAAGAAGAGACTCTGAAGTCTGAGCATCTTCAAACTTACCTCTCCATCTACCTTCATGTACACCGTGGGTACCACCTTCACAAAGTACTGGAACATCATGGAGGCTGCAGGGAGAAGAGAGCACTGGGAGTGGGTGCGGGCAGGGCTTTGGTAGATGGGGGCTACCTCCCAGGCTGGTACCTTGGGGTGCAATGACGTTGGTGCGGTCCAGGGGGTTCACAATGCCTGGGTAGTCCTCCCCAAATGACAGATGCTGGATGTAGTGGGTCATGTTGATCTGCAAGCAACACCAGTGTCTGGGCCTCAGAGCACTCGGGGCCCCAGTAGGCCCCACCCCATCAAAGGCTCTTCAGTACAGGGGCAGACAGGGGTGCCTGAGTGGACGTGTGGAGACAGGTGGAGGGAAAGAGGGCCGTGCCCAGAAGAACCTGCCTGAGACAGGGACGCCCAATTCCCACCTAGGAACTCTTTCCTCAACGTCTGCGGGCTCCTGGGGCTCCAGAGTTTGAGGTGCTGGCTGCACCCACATATCAGACAAACACAGACTGAGCACAGGCCCTGTGTGATAGCCCCTGGCTTTGCCTCGAGTCCTAGGCTGGAGGGGCCCCAGATCTCCCAACTCCCACTCCTGTCCTGCTCCCATGTAGGTCAAACTTAGCCATTAGAGGGATCTTTAAAAAAAAAAAATCTGATTACATCATGCCCCTGCTTAAAGTAAGCCAACAGTCCCCAGCAGCTCTCTGGAGAAAGACCAGCCTCCTGGCACGGCCTGGCCCATGTGGTGTGGCCTGTCACACTCCCTCGTGACCTCTCCCGAGGCTCCCTCTGCCCAGAGGCTCTTGTCCAACCCCATCCCCCTCTTTAGCCTACACAGATCTCAGTTCAAAAGTCACTCCCAGTACCCTCAAACTGCATCCCCTGTCAGAATATGGTTTATTTCTCTGTATCTTGCTCCCCCATCCCAGGATGTCTCTATGAAGAAATGAAGGCGGTAATCACGTCTCCACCTCTATCCACCCTCCATGGTTTACACCCGGTACATACGTTGTCAAGGCCGAAGCTCTGCAGGTCATGGACTAGGAGAGAAGGGAGACATGTCACCAGGTGGAGCAGGACTGGCCTCCTGGCTCCCCAGACCCTCACTCGGGCCCCTTCACTCCTCCCTCTGGACTGCGACCTGCCTGGCTCTTCTTCCCCGCTCATTCACTCACCAGTCTGGCCCTGTTTGGGGGCCGCAGGAAAGGGCCTGCCGTGGGCCTGTGTGATGGTCCATGGCCCCTACAGACCCCACTTCTTGCCTGAAGTATAGAGGGAACGCTTCATGGGCATCAGTCCAGGCCTTTGGTTCCCACCAAGGCCCTGCCTGCATCTCAGGAAATAAAACCCACTCACTCATTAACTAGAGCTGATGGCCAATCACTGAACCCCAAAGTGAGATGGGACCTGAGAATGTGGGCCAAGTTCTTTCCCTGCCTCTTCAGCCCACACCCTCAACCCACTAAAGGAAATCCCACAGGCACCCTGCACTGTCTGTTCCAGAGCCAGTTCCTCCTGCCCTCGAGCCCTGATGTCTCTGGCTACAAGGAATCCCACCTCAAAGACACGTCCCACTGCTTTTTATAGTCAGTTAGCAACCAGGACCATCCAAACCACCCCCACCC